TATATATATATATATATATATATATATATATATATATATATATATATATATATATATATATATATATATCAACCTATCTATCTATCTTTCAATCTCTGTCAATCCATTTATATATCTATATATTTATCTGTTCTCTCTCCGCCCATCAACCTCAGGCTATCAAGGCCCTTTCGGCCGAAGAGGCCCGCCCGGCAAACCAGGAAAGTCGGTCTACATCGAGCCAGGACTAGTTGGAGACCCCGGCTTTCAGGGAGTGAAGGGCGATCCTGGCCTGCCTGGGATTCGAGGTCAGTTCTACCCTGAACCACATATCAAAATGTACCCTTTCTTCATTCCACCCCTCACCAGTAACGTGTTTTCGATGAATCGTTCATTGGGTCAGGGTGGTTCAGGCTGTAGGCGTGTTGTGCTGCACTAGCACATAAAGCGGTCTGGAAAGGTATATTTCTCTGGAACATTACGATAAACGTATTTTTGTCTCCGGTATTTGGACTGGACTGTGGCCTTCATATTAATCCAGTCCTCGATACAACCTCCTCCGAATACAATGGAAAAGTGTTGTTCATTCCTTTGTCACGTCACGTGACGAACGCCACAGATAGACATTGCCAATTCAACACCTCGTAGGGCAAACCAACCTTCCCCATCCATTTCATACGTCTACATATATTTATTTATATTTATATGACCTTAAGCAATAAGATTGGCATACTCGATTAGCTATCCGATTGTAGTGCTTTCGGCACGAAGCTGCATCCACAATGTCCGTCACGTGACGGGACAGACGAATAAACATTACGCTTTTACCGGAACCGGGGTTTATTTTTTTATTTTTTTTATTTATTCATATATATCGTTATAATGTGATGAATTCCACAGAATTCCACAGAGGTCTGTTTTCCCAAAAGGTGTTCTCATCCCGGCCAGAGTGGGCTGCAATTTCGACTTTGCATACGGTCTTATCGACACTCCAAGCCGGAGTCGAACTATGACAGGGCAGTGTGCAAGCTCACCACGTTCAGCACCACACAACATTGCCACGAGTGTCCTTGGATGACAGGGCAGATGTGAATTTCAAGAAAGGTCAAACATTTTCCATTTCACATTCTGTGTTGGAATTGTCGATGAAACAAATTGATGTGTACAATTGACTGGAAACGTCAGCTCTACTCATTTCATTGTGGGTGAATAAAACTCATTTATCTGATCTATTGGTAGTCGCGAAAACCTACTCACTTACGAAAAAAGTAATGTTGTCGATTGAAATAGCAAAAATAAGTTTGCTTCATCGAAAATCGCAACACAGAATGTGATATGGAAAATGCTTGACCTTCTTTGAAATGCACATCTGCTCTGTCAACCAAGGACACTCGTGGCAATGTTTCGTAGCGGTTAACGTGCCACTGCATTTTCATAGTTCGACTCCGGCTTGGAGTGTTGACAAAACGTATGCTAAGTCGAAATTGCCGCCCACCTTAGTCGGGATGTGAACAACTTTTGGGAAAACAAGGCTATGTGAAATTCAATAGAAACGTCAGCTCGAGTCATACGATTGTGGGAAAAATCAACTGCCAGTCCTTCATCATCTTAAAACGAAATCGGTTGTATACAACTTATTAATCTTCAATTTGTCGAGGAGGCAGATTCGCAATCTTCTGAACCTCAACTAGGATCAGTCTCGTGAGGACTACGAAATGGATACTTTTAATAATCTGTTCTGAGTAAATACCGTTTATATGTGATGTATTCACTCTATTTCGTCTAAGTTGATGAAGGACTTGTAGTAGAATTTTCCCACAATCATATGAGTTGAGCTGAAGTTTCCATTCAATTTCACATAGTCTTGCTTTTCCAAAAGTTTGTTTCCATCCCGGCCGAAGTGGACTGCAGTTTCGACCTCGCATGGGTCTTAGCCACACCCCCAGCGGGAGTCGAACCGTGACAGTGCAGGATGGGAGCAAAGCAAGGCTATGTGAAATTGAATGAAAACGTCAGCTCAACTCATATCATTGTGGGAAAATTCTTCTTC